TGGAATTGTTAAAATACAGATTCCTGAATCCCAACTAAAAAGTACTAAACTAGCCGAGACCGGTTTGGCTCAATGGATAGAGCGTCGGTTTGGGGACTGAAAGGTCCCGGGTTCGATTCCGGTCAAGGGCATGTATCTTGGTTGCGGGCATATCCCCAGTAGGGGGTGTGCAAGAGGCAGCTGATCAATGACTCTCTCCCATTGATGTTTCTGGCTCTCTATCCCTCTCTCTTTCTCTCTGTACAAAATCAATAAAATATATTTAAAAAAAAAAATAAATAAAAAAATAAAAAGTACTAAACTAGAATTTTTGGGAACATATAGGTAAAATTGTATACTTAACTATCGATAGTAAGTATAATTGTATACTTAACTAGTAAGTATACAATTATACAATTTGGGAACATATAGGTAAAATTGTATACTTACTAGTAAAACATATAGGTAAAATTGTATACTTACTAGTAAAACATATAGGTAAAATTGTATACTTACTAGTTAAGTATAGTTAAGTATACAATTTTACCTATATGTTCCCAAAAATTCTAGTTTAGTACTTTTTAGTTGGGATTCAGGAATCTGTAGTTTAACAACTCCACCAGGTGATTCTCATCATGAGAGAAGCTTGGGAAACACCGTTTTATGGGAAAAAAGAGAATTACATAAGTAACTCTAAGCTCATTTGGATCTTGAAATCTTAGATTGAAAACTGCCCGGTCTGGGTGAGGATTTTGAGCATGGACTCCTGAGCCAGGCCAACTGGATTCAAATCCTACCATGAAGGTCTGTGTGCCCTTCAGTAAGACTCTGGGCCTCAATGTCCTCTTTAACAGGGACGACAACACTGATCACTGAGGATAATTCTGAGCACTAACATAATGTTCTTAAAACAGTACCTGACACATAGTAAGCACAGTAAGTTTCATGTTTACATGTTTATTTTGAAACACTACAAAATAAAATAATAACCAACATTCATTGAGCACTGCTGTGTGTCAAGCACTGTTCTAAGCATTTTTAAATGTATTAACTCTTTAATTTGTAAAGACCTACTAAGTACTATTATCCCCATTTTATCAATAAAAGGATTGAGACACAGAGAGGTTAAGTCACTTGCCCAGAGTAACAGTCAATAAAACGTGGTGCTGGGCCCTGGCCGGGTGATTCAATCAGTTGGAGTGTTGTCCCATACACGAAAAAGTTTTACGTTCGAATCCTGGTCCGGGCACATACCTAGGTTGCGGGTTCAGTTCCCTACTGGGGTGTGTGTGGGAGGCAACGAACGATGTTTCTTTCTCACATCCAGTCTCTCACTCCCTCCCTTCCTCTCTCTAAAATCAGTAAACACATCCTCAGGTGAGGATTAAAGGAAAAAAAGGTGGTGCTGGGAATTGGGCTTTAGCCGAATTGCTCCAGAGCCCTCTACCTCAATCCCTGCCTTCTGTTCTTCCTTCCCTGTGCGACAGGTGGGCTCTGTTCTGCAGGTGGGAAAACATGCTGGAGGAGGTGCTTTCTTGCCTAAGGCTTCAGAGCAGACAGAAGCCTGAACCCAATCTTTCTAATGGACAGCTCTGGGCCCACAGCCCTGGGAGGGAATGAGCTGAGCTGGCTAAACCAGTCCTGCCGACTGTGGGAAGCAGACAGCTGGGGTCTGGCCCCCCTCTACCCGCCCCCCCCTTTCCCCACATCAGCCGCTGTATACCTGGGTCCCACAGATGAAGCGGACAGAACTAAGGCCAGCTCCAAACTCCTTCAGGGTCTGCAAGCCTGCCTGGATCACCTCGGGGTGACTGCTCAGGCCCAGGTAGTTGTTGGCACAGAAGTTAAGGATTTCTGAAGGGGGTGGACAGAGAACAGACAGCAGCTCAAGGCCCTAAGGAAAGGCCTTGAAAGGTGTCAGTGCTAGGCCCCAGGGACCCAGGCAGTAAATTAGTCTGGATTCACCCTGGAGGAGGCAACAACCACACAGTGTGACCCATTCTGTGGCAGAGGCCAGGAGGGGGATCTGGGGGCCCCTAGAAGGCACTGAACCCACCAGCTACAGGAGAGGAAGGGTCAGGAATGGGTCTGAGTGGCCTCTTGAAAGATGAGAAATTTAAATTCTGGCTCTGAATCACATTCCGCCCTCCTTCCCCCAGGAACTCCTTCTGTCCCTGAGGACACCACAACCCTCATCTGAGTCTTGGTTACTCATGGGTAAATGAACAGGGTTTGGTCAGATGCTCACTGTGGTTCTCAAACTTCACAGTTGACTTTGCTGCCTGATACAGAATTACAGGTCAGAAAGGGGTGCCTCTGAGACCTGGACCTTGAATTATACCCAAGGAGGAAAAGGAGGCTTGAGGAAGGTTCCCTCAGCCTGGGAGAGGCAAAAAGGGATGAGCATCTGGGGTCTCCAATTTTCCCATCTTCTGACCTGCTCCAAGCTTCCTTGGGGGAGGGGGGAGGGAAGGAGGGATTTCCTGGGACCGCCATTTTACAAATGAGTGCAACCGCGCCAAGGATTCCATGCCTACTTCCAGAGGGCAGCCTTTCTAACCAGTACCATTTGGGACCTGGCACGGAGGGGGACCAGGTGGTCCAACTCCTGCAGCAGCCCATGCGCCCCTTGCTCGCCGAGATGGCCAGGAAGTTGGCCTCTCCGGCCCATTAGCTGGCCTTCCAGCTGCACTGCACCAGGGGACCCGGACTGAGCCCAGCTCTGCCGGCGGCTCGCTGGGGCTTTGGGGCAGCTCCCTCTGGGCTTTTTTAGTGTAAAGCGGAGAAGTTTACAGAAGTCCACGTGCAGCTCAGGCTCCAGCAATGCCGGGTTTCTCGTTTCACCTTCCCATCACCCTTCCTCGAAGCAGCTGGGGACCCAGGTGGGAAGGTCTCTTTTTTCTCACAGTCTTCCAGGGCCCCCTCTGCCCTCCGAGTCAAACAAGTGCTCAAGGGCAAATCGCCTCCCTTCGTGGAAACAGGTTTGGCCAGATCAAACCGGAGTGTGATAGCTGGAAAAGGGGCCCGCAGCTACGGGCTAAGGACCTCCAGCGCAGGCCTCGCAACGGCCCTTTCAACAGCCGCCCACGTCCAACTCCTGGGAGGGGAGTTACCTCCGGGGACGCCGGAGACGCGGATGCGCGGCCCCTGACGCGACGTGATGACCCGCTCGCTCTTCCAGGTGCCGGCCCCGCGGATGCCGTCCAGCTCCCGCTCCAGGATGCCACGCAGCTGGCTCAGCGCGGAGTGCGCGCGGCGGCCGGGGGCCCGGGAGAGCGCGGCGCCGAGCGCGGACACGGCCCACATCGCACCACTTCGCCTGCCCGCGAGCGCGCCGCCGGGAGCCCAGCACACCGCGGCCGCGTCACGTGGCGGGGGCCGGACCCGGACAGCCAATCGGAGCGAGGAGAGCGCCCTCGAGGGGCGGGAGGGCGGGCCCAGGGGCGGTGGGCGGGGCCAGCGCGGTGCGCAGAGCCGACTCTCCGAGTTGAGACGCGAGCGGTTGGGGAAGGGGGAGGCCACGCGGCGGGGCCCAGCCCCGGACCCCGTCCCACTGCCCGCCCGCCCGCCCCGCTCTGGGGGGACTGCCCTGGACCCCAAGGCAGCAGCCCGCGGCACGCCCGGTCCCCTCAGCCCTGAGACCCCCGTTTTGGGGAGCTCTTGGGACCCTCCCTCCCCACATCTCCCCCCAGGACTCCCCGCCCAGTGCTCCGCCTTCTCCAGTGTCAGAAGCGAGGAAAACACCGCCCCGGTTTTGTCCTTTTCCAAATTTTTATTTTAAAGTTTCAAAATTACAAAGACAGCAATTCTTCCCGGCACAAATAACACTTGTGGGTTTTTGTTTTTTTTACAAAAGGTGGGGGGGATGGGGTGGGGAGGAATAGGACGCGGACTGCGCCTTTTCCTATTGAGGGACTGTACAGGTTTTTTCTCCCGCTCCCGGTGGACCTAAGCGCTAGCCTAAGGAGGTATGTACACATTTACACAGACACGGACTAGCTTGTGAACTACTTAGCGATTCAAAGTCACTGCGGTATGTCTTACTGTCCACTCCCCGCCCCCGCCCCCGCCCCCCACTACCTAGAAAAGACTCGGGAAACGACGAGGTCGGATGTGTTTGTGTGGCGCTGGCAGGGCTGGGGACTCCCCAGACCACCAAGCCACCTCTGGTACAGGAGGAACCAAAACACCGGGGGAACACAATCCAATTGTGTGGAAAAACCCAGGTTTCGACAGGGCACACTGAGGCACTTGGCTGACTGACTCCCCACCCTTACCCCAAAGTTTCCATCCCACAACAGGCGGCTTTCCGAAGCCACAAAGACACCCCCCCCCCCCGCCCCCCAATGGCTAGTTTCCAGCTGGGAGAAGCCACAGCTTCTCAGACCAGCTGTCACACACACACCCCCTCGGACAATAGGAAGCCCCGGGACAGACTCAGAAGTGAGAGGGAAACTGGACTTGGACCCCATCCCCACCCCCACTGCTCACCCCGGGAGGTGGAAGTCTGCCGGAGCCGCCCCTCTGCTCCCCAACCAGGTCCTGAAGCTCACAAGGGCCGCTCAACTTAAAAGAAAACTCACTTTGTCTCAAAGATATTCCTACAAACCTTACCATTCCTGGGCTCCCTCTCAACTAGCCAAAACAACCCCCCCCCCCAATCCTCCCATTTACCTTCATAGCGAACAAGCCATCCACCTAAACAAAACACACAAACCCTCCCCAAACCCTAAGTAGATTAATAACAAATTAACAGAACAAAATAGAAGTACATTCTCATCATTACAGAGATGAGATAGTTTTTTTGTTTTGTTTTTTGCTGTCCTTGCACGACTGGTTAAGGAAAAAAGAACTATTCCCTAATGTCTAAGGAATCCGAATTCTGTCTCACATGAAGTCAGAATATAGAAAGGGGCGAGGGGTGCAGGTGAGGCGTTAAGAGAGAAGGAAGGAGAAAAGTATTTACAGAAAATAGGAGGCAGGCAGGCAGGCAGGAGTGTCCAACAAGAAAAGCCTCATTGTCACTTCTTCTTGCCGGCCCGCTTGGCACTGGACTTGGCTTTGGGCTTCACCGGCTTGGCCTTCTTGGGCTTGGATGCCTTGACCGGCTTGGCTTTGACAGTCTTGGGCTTTTTGGCTTTCTTGGGCGTGGCGGCCGCCTTCTTCTTGGCCTTCTTGACCGGGGTGGCTTTGGGCTTCTTGCTGGGGGCCTTGGCGGCCGCCTTCTTGGGCTTGGCCGCCTTCTTCGGCGTGGCCACCTTCTTGACCTCCTTCTTGGTCTTCTTGAAGGCCACCGACCGCTTGGGCTCGTCGCTCCTGGCCAGGCGGAAGGAGCCCGAGGCGCCCACGCCTTTGGTCTGCTTGAGGACCCCGGTGGTCACCAGGCGCTTGATGGACAACTTGATCTGCGAGTCGGCGTTCTCGCCCACCTTGTAGTGGCTCTTGATGTACTTCTGGATGGACTGGCGCGAGGAGCCGGCGCGGTTCTTCTCCGCCTGGATGGCGGCCACGATCATGTCCGAGTACTTGGGGTGGTCCGTGGACTTCTTGGAGGCCTTGGCCCGCTTGGGCTTGGCCGCAGGGGCCGACGTGGAGTTCTCGGTCATGGTGGGCCGCCCGGTCCCGCCGCTGGAGAAGGCGCCTTCAAAAGGGCCGGCCCCCGTCGGAGGCCGAGGGGAGCTTCACGAGCGGCTGCTCTCGCACCCGGGTCCTCTGGGACCGGGCTCGGGCGCAGGCAGAGCTCGCTGCGCCGGTTCTGCGTGGCTCGGCCCCGCCAGCCGCTCGCTCGCTCGCTCGGTCTGTCGGTCTGTCTGTCTGTCTGCCCCTGCGCGCGCGGCGGCTGCGGCTCCGGTCCTGCCACCGCCTCCGCTGCCTCTCTTTTCCCAGCTCCGCGTCTGGCGCTCGGGCGGCGCATCCGGGTATTTAGCGGCGGCGGGCGGACCGCGGTGAGGACAGGGCTGCTGGCTGCCTGCTCTGGGCCCGGAATGGCGCTGCGCCGCCGCCATCTGTGTTTCTTCCGCCGAGCAAATCCGACCTTTCCCCTCGCCCCGGGCCTCCCCGCTCCCCGCCGCCGCCCGGGGTCGCTGCCCGGCTCCCTGGGCTCCCCCGCCAGGCGGCTCGCCGGCCTGGCCGCCGCCCCCCGAGTCCGCGAGGCGCCCCAAACGGCGCCGAGGACCGCTGCTGCGCCGGCACATTTCCCCTTTGCGGGGGGCTGGCTCTGCGGAGCCGGGGAGCCCCGGTGCGGGAAACCCCCCGGAGCAAAGCCCCCACCCTGGGGCTCCCGGGGACCCCGCTCCCGGCCCGCTGCGGGCTCCCGCAGCCCGGCGGTGTGGCCGGAAAGCGACCCCAACTAACACACGCGGCCCCGAGCCGGGCGACTCCCAGCCGGGCCGAGCCGGGACAGGGGGGAGGGGTCGCTCCCCCGGGGTCCGGTCACCTCTCGGGGGTCATCCCGCGACCCGGCCCCCCGCGCCTCTACCCCATCTCTGCCCATGGGGCCCCGGAGCAAACTTTCTCTGGAAGAGTTGGAAGGGCACTTTCAAACTTTGTCCCTTCCCCCTCCTCCATCGGCTCTCCCCCAGCGGGCCCCCTGACCCCTGCGGTGGGGGTTCTCTCCGGAGGCCGAACCCCCAGGGCTGCCAGAGCCCCCCGAGACAGTGAGGACGGGTCCTCCGAGTCGCCTGCACCCCTCCAAGGCCCCCCACACTTCCCATAGATCTTAACCGGGAATCCATTTATGTGCCTCCCTCAGCCTGGTTTTGGGGTGTCCGAGGCAGAGCCCGCTGCCCCCACCCCGGGGCCCAGGCTGGGGGTGCAGTCCCCCTCCTAGGGCCCCTCCAGGGCGGGGGGTCTGGGGCGGAAGGACCAGGACCCCGGAGCTGCCCCGCAGGCTTAAGCAGAGCCGGTCCTGGGGGCGCCTGCAGGGACCAGGCGCTGCGAGCTGCGGGGCGCGGGGGAGCGGGGCGCGGGGAAGGGGGCGAGGAGGGGGTCGGCCCGTGGTCCTCACTCCCCCTCGGAAAGTGTGCGGTCGCTCGGGGAGCCGGGGCCGGGACCACCGCCATTTTGCTGGGAGGATGCAGTGTCTTTGTTAAAATGCACACATCTCTCCCCGTCTCTGGCAGGTATGGGCGAGGCCAGCGAGGGGTGCCATCGGCCTCAGTGGGCCTGGAGGGGCTCTGGGGGGATGTGGGGGCTCAGAGGCCAGCAGAGGGGGCCTCAGGACGCCTGGGACGGAGCCCCTGGTTTGCGACGGACATGGGGCATCCCAGGGTCTAATTTCCCACTCACAGGCAGGGTCCTGGGTTGGGATCCTGGGATGCCCGGTGCCTGAGCCACCTCCCCGCATCAGACCCGCTGGCATTCCCTAAGCAGAGGCCCATCACTCTTCACCCCCAAACAATACCCTGGGCAGGGGAGGGGGGTACTGGTCCCCGAAAAGAACGGGTCTGCGCCCTGCTCCGGAGCTTTGGCTGTGGCGCAGGGAGGGGGGAGGGATGGAGGGTTTAGGTGTGGGACGGGGTCTTAGCGAGGATGCGGGGAGGGGGAAAGGCTCGTGCAGGACTCGGAGGCCAGGGAAATTAGTGGGTTCCCCCCACACCAAGGGATGGATTAATCCAAATGATTGGGGGAGGGGAGAGGGGAGGAGGAGGCCAGAGACATTCTGAAGCCTGGTGATCTTGGTGGCACAGGTGGGGAGGGACGTGACGAAGGCCAAGTTCTTATTTGGTGTCAGTGACCCCGAAGTTCCCTGGCTTGAAAACACAGCGTTCTGGTGGGTTTGCTTTGGCTGTTTTCAAAGGCAGTTCTCCAGGCTCCCAAGATCTGGATGGGGAAACAGGTATCCAGATGAAGACACCCCCAGATGTTCCACCAACATCCTGCGCTTTCAGAGACGTGTCCCCCTGCGCCCCCACATCCGCGCACCTCTTAGAACCAGCACCGATGGACCAATCCAGTGCCATCATGACGGAATAATTTTACTTTCACGGCGCACTACAATTTGCAAAGTGCTCTCCACCGTTATTTTGATCCTTTGCGCCTCCAGCCTGGGGGGGCAGGCAACGTGATCACTGCCCCTGTCACCTCTATTTTTCCGGGGCGGCGGAGGGACTCCTTCGCGTGGGTGGGTGGGGGGCGCGCTGTTAAGGTCAGCTCCCGGCGACCCCAGGCTTCGATTTGATTTTGTGGCTGCCCCATCCCTATCCCTGCCCATCCCAGCGACCTGCAAACTCCCCCCCCCCCCCGGAACCGGAGCCAGAAATGGAGGAGAGGGTCGCCGGGGCTTTCCACCGGCGGGCAGCCCACCTCCCCTGCTGGGGAGATTTGGGAGGAGAGGCGGGCTCGGCAGGGGTTGCCCCGGAATGGGGCGCAGAGTCCGAGGTTGAGGTCAGTCAGGTGAGGAGAGGCTGCCTCCGGGTTAGCCTGGCCGCACTTGGCCTCCGCAGGGCCCCACCCGGCCCGGGGAGGGCTGCCCCCGGCGGACGGCGGAACTCCCTCCTCCCCTCCAACGCGAGCCCTTTAAGATCCCGGAGCCGCAGAGATGCGGGCAACTCCTCCTGGGAAATGTAGTCTCCGCGGGCGCCAGCCCCGCACTGCGCCCCCAGCCCGGACCCGGGAGCCGGGCACTGCCGCGCGCCCAGGGCGCGGGGCGAAGGTCTGACGCCCAGCCGGGCGGGTGCGGAGAAACTCCCGGCCTCCCTGCTGTTTGTTTGTTTGTTTGTTTTTGTTCAACCTGTTAAAAGGGGGCTCCAGCTCGCTGTGGGCTGGTGTGAGGGTGAAATGGAATCCCGGATGGAAGAGCGGAGATCGCATTACAGTGCCAGGAGCCATGCTTTCACTAATGTGCATGCGCCACGTTTGCTGAGCCTTGGCCCATCACATCTTCCTTTTTCAGGCAGGAGGTCTAGAATGGCTAAAGGACGTGCCCAAGGGGGGTGGGGGGGCAGCGTGAAGGAGGGTGACCCAGGAAGGTGACTGCTGACCGACTCCCAAGCCAGTGACTTTCCCACGGCCCCGCTGTGGTCTCCTGTAAAGAGGGCACGCACTCTGGGCTTTGGGACCTGAAGGAATTCACTTGGACGTGTGTCAGGCGCTGGGATAGGTAGGACCTCTTAAAATTAACCAACCTCAAATAACCCTTACGCCAAAGAGACCTGTGTTGGGGTGACAGATTCTGTTCCCCTGCGGCTCCTAGGTTATAAGCCTGTGCAGCATGTGACGGGGCTGAAGCCTGCAGGCAATGTGACACAATGGTAAGTATTTCTGTAATACTTTACACATTCCTAGGGTGGGATGGCTGTCATACGTGTGGTCCTGTGATGACTGCAGTGTGGTTACATGGCGCATGACGGTATTCAGGCTTCTTTTAAGAATAAAGGAAATTTTGCCTCCCAGTGCCCGGATGGGGTCAGATAGTTGTGGCTGGCTGAGCTGGGGGCTCTGCCTGTTACCTGGAGGAGAGGAAAAGAATAAATTACCAGCTGTATAGTCTCCTGCTGCTGCTCTAACCATTATCCCAAACTTGGTGGCTTAAAACAACACGTTTGTTATCTTACAGTTCCAGAGGTCAGTAGTCCAAAATGGGTCTCCTTGGGCTGGAGGGAAAACCCATTTGCTGCTTTTTCCCAAGTCCAGGCGGCCTGCATTCCCTGGCTTGTGGACCCTTTTCCATCACAAAAGCTGTCAATAATTGATTGTTTTTCCTGCTGCCATCTCTCTGGTTCTGACCCTCCCACCTTCTTCCTCTTCCCTCACGTAAGAACCTTTGAGATTCCATTGGGCCACTTGAATAATCCAAGGTCAATCAATTAACAACCTTAAATCCCCCTTCTCATGCGACATAACGTCTCCCCAGGTTCAGGAATCAGGACACAAACATCTTTGGGGAGCCATGATTCTACTTCCCACACGCAGCTACCCACATGCCTGCGTGGGCAGGGGCTGGGGGAGGTGAGCAGCATCCTTCCGCACCTGCTGTGGCACCGAGTGGGGCTCAGCTCGCATCCAGGGCTGATCCTGTTCGGAAAAGCCCTGGCTGGGCAGAGAGCTGAGGAGGCGGGCACTTTTCGGTCACCTGGCAGCAGTGTGACTGGCAGGAAGGAGGGGAGACTGTAGAACCCTCTGGCTGGGCTCTGTCAGATTCCTCATGTCCCTAAATGCCCATCACTTTATTTTTTTTTTTCAGTCCTCACCCAAGGATATTTCTTCCAGTGGCCTTTAGAGAGAGTGGGAGGGAGGAGGAGGGGGAGAGAAACACCTATGTGAGAGCCCCATTGACTGGTTGCCTCCTACATGTGCCCTCACTGGGGGCTGGGGATCACACCGCAACCAAGGTACATGACTTTGGCCAGGAATCAAACCCGGGACCCTGAGGTCTGAGGGCCAGTGCTCTAACCACTGAGAAAAAGTGGCCAGGGCTGTCCACCACTGTTTAATTTAAAGAGTCTAGGACCCTTCAGTCCACAGTCCGACGCTCTATCCACTGAGCCAAACAGGTTTCGGCACACTGCAGAATTTTAAGCTCAAAATTTTAAGTTTCTTTTAAAAACTTAATCCAGCCCTAACCGGTTTGGCTCAGTGGATAGAGCGACAGCCTGCAGACTCAAGG